GCCGCAAGACCATCCGTCCTTAGCATTGCTTTTGTTAATATGTGCAGGCAAGGCGTAATTTCCTCTATATATGCTAATAAGGCCTGTCTTTCCTGCTCACCGCTTTCGACTTTTGATGATATTTCTACTAGAGCCTGTTCGTTTTTAACTATTTGATCTTTGATGCCATTAACTATAGCAGCTCCTTCTGCAACTCGTCTTCTTGTTTGGGCTATTCGCTGCTCCCTACGTTCTCGATAATCGCAGTACCTATCTTCAAATAGTTCTCGCAACGTCATTCCAATGTCATCCTCAACATTGACTCGCCTTGTGCGGGCTAAACCCTCCTTTTTGCGAGCGTTTAATAAAAACTCATCACGTTTCCTGTACCATCTTTCCCAAGCATTAAGTCGAGGATCTTCCCCAGCATGAGATCCATGTTGTGGACAATACTATCAAATAGCATGCGAATGTTAATAATAAATAAAAATACTTGATAGTTTTGCTTCTAGTTAAACAGTCTGCAATAGACCAAGCCCACACACATTCAACAATAAAATGTACATATTACATACAATAAAGTATGGGTCCGCCATGTTAGGATCATCCTCGACGACTTCGAGCAGACTAAGCGACTGGGCACAAGTTACATGAAGCCAATTCTTACATCCGCCAGCATCGCAATGTACAACCGCACCTTCATCACGCAAGCCAGACGAACACACGCAACAGGACTTGTGGGAAAAAACAAAATCGTTAACAAATGACAAATGCTAATAACCTATCAATTTCACATCATCACGACGGACCGTTGCTTACCTTGCGCCAGTTATTTTGTTGCACATGTTCTACCGTTATGTCCGAAATCAATTCATTATCTCCTATCCACATGCCCGGCATCCATAACGCACACACCACATGCACCCATCCTCCTGAATCTGCCCCTCTCGATAATCGTCTGAAAGCCCCGTTTTTATTCGGACATAAACAGCACGACTATAAAAGATTACCATAATCTATAAATGACGACAGTCTTGACAAACAATCGCAAACAAAGGTACAAGTCGTCAAAATACATACAACACATTCTGACGGTTTAGCTAGACAACGATCGCAATACCACGGATCATGAGCACCCGGAAGATCGATAATTCCATAGCATTCTGCAGGTTCCGAGAATAAAAGGACAGGTTTGTATGACGAATAATAGTTAAATCCAAACCATGTTTGTTGTCAAAGGGGTTGAAATGGTACCTTGATGCGTGACGACCTCGCATTCATCATTATCACAATAGACAAGCACGTTGTCTTCGGTAGTTGCGCTGTCGAGACATATGCAACAGACTCCCGGATCATTAACTTTCTGTAAATTGCAAAGGCAATTCGAAATATCAATAGAGATGCGACGGTAGCGACTCGCACTATAGAGGTGCGCATACATAGTACTGTAGGTCAAATATAAGAAACATAACATACCCAACTTGTAAGCCAGTCTTTTATTCTTTGACTCTGGTCCTCCGTGTCACTAACGCTTAAAGACTCATCTTCCTCTTTCTCAGCATCGTCCGATTCGCTATTTATGTTCTGAAGCTCACTGCTGACAATTGTCGCGTCGTCTGTGTCTGTTGAATCGTGACTGTCCTGATATTCAGAGTCAGAGTCGGGACCATTGAGCTCTAACGGCATTTCTTCTATTTTTCTAACTTTTATTTTTCTTTTGTTCGGTCCACGCTCTGCAACTTTTGTAAAAGTTATTTGATAACAGCGCAATTAGTTGGTTGACGTAGAAACACGTTTAAAATATGTTCATGCAGTTCAGGAATAAGTTGATAAATAATAACGGCCAAGTATGGTAACCACAAAAATAAACATCACGAAGCTTAGCAGTCACGTACAGATCCTGTGGTATATCGACTGGACTTCTTCCTTTATATCTTTTTTTTCGGTAGACGAGCTGTCATCAGCCGACACATTTCCGGTCGTATCAAGTTCCTCTATCATAGGCTTTTGTGGTGGCATGTGACTGTACGCAGATATTATTTTAGAGCGAGAAGAGCAGAAGGGAAGTTACAGTCAAAACAAAGCTCGCAGGGATTTGTGCACACCATCTCTCCCAAATCAGCATTTTTATAAATCATCAGCATCCAAATTAGGTAAGTATCTTACGTTTGAGTTTTGAGAAATGACGTGTCGGCAAACGGATAAAACGTCCACGGCAGTATAAGCGAAGCGCACCAAGATGACGGTATCGTAATATGATATGAAAATGTTACGAAAGGAGCTCTCAACGGTTTATAGAAAAGTGAATAACAAACACAGCCAATCGAAAACGGTCGAATATTTGACAGAGAATGTATACGCTGACAATGTATGCAAAAACGCCGCCTCCTAAATGCAGGAACTTACGTCTAAATGTTTTAATGCATTAACCAGGAATGTGGCTTTTTGCAAAATGTTGTTTCTATTATCTAATACCAACGTAGTAGTAGGGGAGAATGGGTTTGTAATATTGGACATGGGTCGTAATATATACAGGGGTGATTATGTGATACGCAATGTATTTTGGAATGATTTAACCGGTAATGTTTATTATCATAATAAGAGCACTAGGTCCAACTTTTAGTCTTATTCACACAGTCGAAGAATAAGGTTTTGCCATAAACAATCTCGTAAAGTTGTTATATTCTTGGCGTTTCAATAAACGTACCGTGTAAATTTCCCACCTTTACAATACCTGCTTCCCTCTCTTTCGCTTGAATCTTCTTCCGTATGTATATTTGTGTTTGTAAGACACCTTTAGCCAAATTACCGTCTATCTAACATTAATTCCTATGGCACAATGTAATACGAGTGATATTGGATAAACAAATTTGCTTAATATTATTGGGAGGTTACGTTCATGAATTTGAGATGGAAATTGGGATACAAGTATACCTTTGAGTGGAATACATCTATCCAGAGCCAAAATCATGAGCAATATATAACCGAGGGCATGCCTGTGTAATCAAAATTGTAAACAATCTTTGAAGCAAATCGTGTAGCAAACATCAAACATCAAATACATCAAACATCAAACACATCAAACATAGACAGTTCATTAATTTTCATTAAATGCAAACGTCTGCTTTGTTAATGAATTAGTACAGCATACACTGAATGAATGGTAAGTCCGGTCACCTGGTAGAGCATTTGTGTTCAAGTTGATCGGTGGGAACCATTGATTAATTTGGTTGCGTTGTCTTGCATGCGCGTCACTCAAGGAGTACTAACTTTATAGAAAATAATCGCTAACCAAAAGAATGACAATTGATGTGCTAGCGAATGTTGAGCACGGCTACAAATATATATTCCTTATTGTCGGAATTAACTAAACGTTTTATTATCCAAAGCATTGGCTTTGAGTCGCTGCATCTAACCGACTTTTAAAAAACCGACTTTTTTGGCCACTGACAATGGTGTGTTTCCGAATTTAGAGTTTTTCTCAGCTAATATACGCAGACAATAAATTGTATATTACGCTGCAGCTACTACAACACTGCAACGTTTAATAATTGCATTTACTAATTATGTACAATTTTATCTCATAATTTAATTTATTTACGCTTCCTAATTAAATAAGGTAACAAGAGCTATTACAAGACGCAGTGAAGGTCGCATTGAAGCTATGCAATACGGTGAAACTAGAACGCATTTAGGATTGTTATTAGGTCATGGTACAAATTTAGAAATTAAGATACTAAAGTCAAAAACATTTTAAGAGTTGCAAAGAGAGACAAAACCCAAATCTAATGGAAATAAGTATTTACATTCTCTCTGATCCACAATAAACGCGCATTTTTCAAATCTGTTACAGGAATGACGGTGCAACTGCATTTGCGTCGTCATTCAATTCGATTACAAGATTTTCAAGATTTTCGTTAAGATTTTTTATGTATTATTTTTTTATATCCTCGCGTTTTTGACATTGTTCAAATTGTTTGGTTTCTAAATTGTCGAGTAAATTATTTCGTCATTATTTTAAGCTTTCTCGAAAAGTCTTTTTCTTTTTCTTTTTGGTCTCAAACGCGTCTAAAATCGTCAATATTAATAGTTCTCGATTTGATTAAAATTGGAATAACGGTAAACACCCCTTACTAATACTCTCAATGTATGACTGGTTCA